GCGAGCCAGGGACGCCAGAAAGCATTTCCCAGCTTTTGCACCCGGTGCCCGCAGGCAGCTGAGCCCCATCCCTGTTTCCCAAGCATGGGATGCAGGTGCAGGTATGGATGCCCTGCCAGCTCCTTTCAGCACTATTTATACCAAAGCCCCATTTAAGGCCATTGGGAAAATGAGGGCTAGACCCTCCGTGACCCAAGGAGGGGATGGGGACAAGGAGCGTGGTCGCAAACCCCACGAGACCCCACGGGACCAGAATCAGCCATGAGCCAGGAAGGGACCACTAATGGGAGTCTGTGTCCTGGGGCCAGCAAAAGCCACACCACAAAATCACGTTCATCAAACAAACAACATCTTAATAAACTCAATGCCTCCTGCTCCGGGAAGCCATGGACCCACGGTGAAACCTCACATCCCGTGGCCGTGTTTCAGCAGGGCGCTCAGCACGGCGTGCAGCAGTGGGTGCCGGTCCGGCCTTGCGGAGCTCCTGAAGGAGAGAAAATATTTGCTGTATTCCTTGTTTGCTGATTTTATTACCACCTCTTACCCACAGCAACAGTAAGTTAAAGCCAGAGGCGCAGTAAAGCCCCCGCATCTTGACAGCTTAAACACAGTCCTCAGGCGGCACGCAAGGAAAATCACACGTCGGAGGAGGTCAGGGGAGCATGAGTAAATAAGATGAGATTAATTTTGGAACAACACGCAGTGAGAATGACGTCTGCCAGGGAAGGAGCATCGCAGGGTCCCACCGCAGCCCTGGCCGTTCCTGCCTGCGGAGCAAAGCCTGGAGGGGCTGCACAAACACAACCGGCCCCACGCAGGGCAGCAAACCTGAGCAGCTGCAGCCGGAGCCTTTGCAAACAGCCGTGCATGAGCCAGAGCTGCATGGCGTGAGATCAAAACTCTCCCCCTGCTCAGGCAAGGCTTTTTGGACAGGTGCTTCCAGCTGCCACGTGGGCAACAGTGGTTCGTTCTTCGTCCCAAACCCCACTGGAGCTGTCTCCAAGAGCTGAACAGCTCATGAGGCCGCATTAACAAAGCAACTCAATAAGTTCGTTACCTGCACCGAGCCCTTTACAGTAGGTCAGCCCCGGGGTGCTGCCCCGTGGGGACGGGAGTGCCACCGCTCACCCGCACGGCAGGCTGGGAGAGCCCGGCTGCGGCGTCCCCTCGATGGCAGCTGCGCTGTCGGCCTTTCCCCTCCAGGGACTGGGGCCGGAGTTGGAGTCCTGCAAACAAACTTCCCCCAAACACCCTCTCTCCTCCATGGCTTCCCCCCTCCCGCACGTTCC